CTGCACAGCTTGGGGATAACAGCTTAGAGGTGAACAGCGAACAAGGGAAAAAAGCGGGGACTAGGCGGGCATAAAAAGACTCCTTTTGTAATTATTTACTGAAAAAAACTGTACTTTAAATATTCCAAAACTTATAATTATATGCAAAACCATATTAGGCATAATACATTCTGTGTTCCTAAAGTGACATTCAGTCAGTAAGGCAGTAAAAGATACTCTTCAGATGAGATTCTCACAAGATTATGAATTCTGGATAGTCACTGCAGAATTGCATCATGAGCCTCTGTCAGTTTCCAGACTTGTCACCTCAGAGCTGCAGTATTCCCCTCTCTTCTTCATGTGCCTGCACTGTGTTTGCTTTTGTATCTGATAACTGGTATTGAATAGAGATGCCTGTTTGCTAAAGAGGTGTAGACTAGGCTGAAAGGCTTTTCCTTGTTGTGGTTTTGGACTACTAGATCTAGACATAGACACAAGTGTATAAATCAACTTTTATACCTTTACAGAGCATTTTGTTTATTAATTTCCCTGGAAACTAGTGAGAATATAATTGATGATTTTCCGCAGATACGGTTGTGGCAACAATGTACACATAGTTTGTATGAAGATCTGGACTGATTATCAGAAGGAATTGGAGAAAGACTCTTTGGTGACGTGCCCTTTGTGCAGGGAACATTTTGCACCACTGAAGCTCATCTTGGAAGAATTCAGAAACTGTAAAAGGCTTGTGACGACAGCAGAGAAAACACGTCTTGACAAACATCTTGGAATCCCTTGCAATTACTGCAGAATATGCCCTATAGAGGGAAAGTGCTACAAGTAAATGTTTTAAAACTGTTCTTTTCTTATAGTTATCTGATATTTTTAATAACCTTAAATCAAAAATTAACAAGGACAGTCCTAAGGGCTTTTTTAGAGAGATCTAGAGTCAGTATTAATGATAATGATAATGATTTATTTCTTGTATCCCACCTTTTGCCTAAGCAATCAAGGCGGCTTACAAATATAAAATAAATACAATATTGAAATAAACATAATAAGATTAAGAAAGCACACATTCTGCCTTCTCTCCTCCAGTTGATGGTGGATGGAGGGAGGGCTGCCTTCTTTTCAGGCTAGGCCTGATGGAGCTGGCCTGCCTTCTCTCCCCCCTGACGACAACATCAGCCATCTTGGTTCTTGCATTACACATCTGATTGCTCTGGAAGTGAGTCCTTTCTCTGATGTTGAAGGTCTGATGTCAGAGGAATGAGGACTACAGTCCTTTCTGAGAGGGCAAGGTGGAAAATCCAGCATTGGAGCATCTCTTCCAGGGTTGAATTGCTTTCTAACCTCAGAGGGGCAGATCCAGCCTTCCCCATGATCCTTGGCATGCTAGCCCAGGGACCTTAAGAGTGCAGCCTAAACAAATTTAATACATACAGATAAATAATCTTGTTCCATGTCAGTTAATTTTATGATTAATCCTGTTCCATTCAGTTAATTGCCTAATCAAACTTTAGATTTGTTTATGTTTATTAAAATATTTTGTTATTTATTCTGGTGGTTGTAGTTCAGATGGCATTCCATACATTAGGGAGTAAGCCTCATTGAACACAGTGGACCTACTGCATAGTAAATATGCATATGATTGAGCCAGTGTAATCTAGTGGTTTAAGCATTAGATTACAACTCTGGAGACGAGGATTCGAATCCCCACTGGCCATGGAAACCCATCAGGTGACCTTGGGCAAGTCACACTCTCTTAACCTCAGAAGAAGGCAAAGACAAACCTCCTCTGAACAAATCTTGCCAAGAAAACCCCATGATATGGCTTTAGGATTATCTACCATAAATCAGAAATGACTTGAAGGCACACAACAAGA